GCTTCTTGCGTGACCGTCTCTTGCTTAGGGTTTTGTTGGGGTGGGCTGCGGGGTGTTCGGGTCTGACTTCTTTCGGGCGCCTTTAGGCTTGGCTGAGGGCTTGAGTTCTTCAGGGTTTCTTTGGCGTAGGGCTTCACTACTTAGGGTTGCTTTGGGCTTGTCTTGCTAGGGGTCTCACTTCTTTACTGTTTCTGCAGGCTCGGCTTAGCTTTGGGGTTTCTTTGGGTTGGTTTGGACGGAGTGTTGCAGGGTGTTCTTTTAGGCTTGGCTGAGGGCTTGACTTCTTTGGAGTTTCTTTGCTTTGGCTTGGGCTTCACTACTTTGGGTCTTGCTGGGGCTGAGGGCTTTACTTCTTTGGGATTTGTTTGGGTATGGCCTGCAGCCTCCGGTTCGAACTCGAACTCGAACTCGAACTGGATCAGCTGGGGCACCGTTTGCAAGGGCTTTTATAAGGACAGGTAGTTAAGCCACCATCGCTCTGTGTAGAGGCATGGTAAAAGCCAAGCACTCAACCAGCAAACTGCAAAAGACAACCACCAGTTTTTGCTCAGACTTAATTCAGCCAACCAACCCTCACAAGGCCTGGCCTCAAAGGGAAATGTTTGGATCACTTTTTCGTTGCCTGAAACAAGTCGCCTGCACATGGATTTGAATACCGCCTTCAAGGCGCCGCCATCCAGATAAGTTAAGCGTCCCTAAAAATCTACGGGCCAAATGAACAGTGCGAGCGTGAACTATCCTGCGTCCATATGTAGTAGCTTACTTGTAGGTACTAGCTACCTCAGTTTTTTGCTTAATTAAGTAGGCGCCTACTTAATTAAGTAGGGAGGGGGGGAAGGGGCCTTAAAACATATAAACGCTATGAACGGCAGATGTCTGATTTCTTCCTGGCCACCTCGCCTCACTCCGCCACCTCTACACAGGAATCTGACAACCCGATGAGGGAGTACCGGCCTGCAGAGGCGCCGTGCAGCTGGGACTTTCTTTGTAGGGAAGATTGGCATTTCTTTTTTTTGTCACATCCTAAGGCTTTCATTCGATTCATCGAGATTTGTAATTATAAGCTATATATTCCTCCAGCTGAACTTACAGGGAACATTTGTCTCCAAGCCTTATGAGGCTGGCTTGGGGTCCGTTTTATCGCAGTGACTCGCTGATGTAAAGTTAACAGTTAACATAAGTTGACACCGCACGGCACGTTGGCTTGTTCAAATACTGTGGTCAAATGAACCTGCCTTGCAGAACATTTCCACTCTGCCATCAGCCGCTTTGAAAGGCCCCTGCGAGCAGTTCAAAGAGCTGCCGGAAGCCAGGTGCATCCACTCTTGCCAATTCATGCCAGAGATGAACAGAAGGTATTTGGTCTGACGGCTAAGGTGCTGGCTTGAGCCCAGAAACTTATGTACCTCCTCCGCAGTTTGAGGTCGATGAAGCTCACATGCACTAAGAAGCGTCTTTGTTTTATCAAGCAGTTCATTGAGTCGACAGGCATGGAAACCCTGGAATTGAGACGTTGACTGAAATGTGAGTAAATATGTATCACCGAGTCAGCGGAATGCATCCAAGGAGCAGATACCGTCATTCGACCCGTGGGCGTAATTGCTGGCATGTCTCTGCGATGTCTTGTTACATGCATTGCGTAGATGAAGAGAAAACGTACTTGTCATAGACTCCCATTGCCAATGTGACAAGAGAGGAGGGATACCATAAGCAACTCTTAGAACGAAGCGACACAAGCGACCACCGCAAGGAACTCGAAAACGGAAGCAAAGTCAATTCATAGAATAGTCTTGTTTTTGGGCTTTGAGTTCACAAAAAAGCCAGGCCTGAAGGGGCCTACGCTCGCAAGCAACGCGAGAAGGTACGACCCGAAGAAGATGATGTATATACTGTACTCTTTTCTAGGGCGCAGCTTGAACACACTATATAAGTCTGACGTATCTAAACGAGAAGTTCCGCTTGCCTGTTGCAAGTGCAATTGTGGATAATCCCTTCTAACAGAGATCTTTAGCTTGCCGTTTGGTGCATTTCAACCGCTTCAGGCTTCTCGGGAGAAAGATTTCTCAACTGCTCACAATTGAATCGGACTGTCATCCAGATGCCAAAAGCCGCTTTGCAACCTGGAGCTTAGGTCCGACGTCGCAAGAACTCCAAAGGCGAAGTAAACTGGAGACAGTCCTGTGTTAAACACCCACGCATCAGTTTTGGCCTACACATGTTTTGAGCATCGCTGTCTTTCATCAGATTGTTCCCTGGATCTTTTTCCTGATGCGATCCTTGAGTTTGGCATAGCCCACAGTGGCCCGTCAAATTCAATAAATAAATTTATTGAAGAGCTGCACTTTTGCAGCAGCTATGGACCGCAGTTGAGTATTCTAGCCCTTGGACCCATGGCCAGATGGCGCAGCAAGAAGAACTACTGAAGAAGGTCCTCGCAATGAGGAGCCGGATCCAGTTCTTTCGGGCGACTGCGTCATTCATTCAGAATTGAATAGTCCAGTCCAATTTCCTGGTCCATGAGCTCTTGATTTCATTTCATCAAAAAGGTTCTTGTTTTGCTTCGTGCCCTAGCAGCTGTTAGTTGATTTTCAAGAGCAGTACCAGTTGCAATTCAAGAGCAGCACTCAGGATACGCAGATAGGAGCCAGCATCAGTGAGTTTTTGCGACGAGGAGCCGGGCCCTAAGATGGTGATCACAAGAGACATTCTGTGACCATTCAGTTTTCTTTTTTCTGATCGACAAATTGATCCACATACAAATGGAATCGAATTGATAAGCCAATTTCTGCGCGACCTGAAATCTGAGGTTGCTCAGGCCGCACCAAAACCTGCTGCAGAACGACCTGAGGTGTGGCTCCTAAGTCAACCACAATGTGCCGCACAATCTGTATTTTGCACCTAGCCTTGCCGCTGCGAAATGATGCCAGTCCATACTGTTTTTCATGTCCTTCCATGTAAAGGCATGAGAGGAGTATGAGGACAGAACAATTGATTCGGTTCTCCATTCTTGAAACCAACGGAAAGAAAGAGGGTAGCGGCCTCTTTAAGGGGCCTGTATTAAAGGGGCTTTACAATTTTTTGTCTCTTATATCACATTTTGCCCGAAGCCTCGCTGCTGTGTATGCTTCGCATTGCTTCGCTGCGCCAGATGATGCCGTCCAAAGATGGTGGCTTCATTGCAACGATCCAGCAAGGCTTTCAAGGTGCCTTTGCCTTTCAGATCAGCCTCTTTTTTTCACACATGCTTTCCAAATCGACGCAATTTGCTTTTCATTAACCTGCTTCTGCTTCTTGCCCATGCCTGGCAACTGTCTTGCTTAGGAATATTTGGCCATTTGGCAACCTCTAAAGAGGAGGTGCGCCAATGATTTCTGATCTCAGTGATTATATGTGATTGAATTGCAAAATTTGGCATGCCACCAAATCTCGGGCATATTACTTTGCATGGAGGTCCTCAAGAAGCGGGGTCCCATGTCAGCGGTGGAATACGAGGACAGAATGACTTGTTCTTTGCGAAAATGTTCCAAAAAATATGAAAAGCAAATTATTCATGCGAAGCCTGAGGTTTAATCTGTGTCCCAAGCCTAGTAGCTACTTAAATTTACTAGCTGCTCAAGCTACTAGTGGCCTTTTCTTTGCGGCCAACCCTCCACAAAAACAATGTAAACAAGAAAGGACACACACAAACAAACACAAATGTGAATTTTTTGGAAATCCCAGTGTAAGGCGGTTCCTGGAGATGATCTCGATCAAAGAGTGCAGTTTTTTGCTAGGCCGGTGAATGGGCTTTGTTTGGTGTTTGTCCGTAATTTCATGCAGAAAAACAGATGTCCCAGGGAGATGTTGGGGCCCTTGGTCTTTTTTTTGGGCAGGATAATTGCTTATTTTTGTGATGGTAATTGTTAATTGGAGATTGTTGAAATCATGCTTTGTGTATAGAAGGAACGCTTGCTTGGCTAGTTATGAGCTTACTCATGGGGCAGAAGCAGAACGTGAATATATTGCTTTGGTATCTTGAGTAGTCCAGAGATGTCCAGAGTATTGAGACAGTCTGAGCATTCAGCATAGACTAGATGTCTGATGCTTGCCACCCTACATCCCCAAATCATCCCCACGCGCAAGCAATGCTGATTTGGGGTTTCGAGATCCAACACCTCTGCTGCCTCTGGCCCTGCCTTGGACCATTCAGGCAGATCCCAGAACACTTAGGAGAGTGGCTGAAAATCTATCGAAAGGCTCGTGGAGAATATGAGGCTGGAACTCATTTCACAGGAAGTTGTACAGTCAAGGCATGTCCAGGCTCTCAAGTTCTATGCATTCAATAGTTCACAGTTTTTTTCCTAAGCTCACTTTGTCGGGCAGGTGAGTGGCGAGGTGGTGCGTATGGCCTGGCAATCCACTGTGGGGCCACCCACGCCAGAGATGCCCGAGGGCAAGATTCTTCGCGAGGTCCACGTGCCAGAGGGTGGCGGATGTACCAGACTTTGCTTTGGGGCTTCTTTCGTTGAGAGCGCTTCTTTCATTGCTTTAGGTGCACAGGGATTTGGATGGACATCAAAGAGCAGCTCCTCAAGGGGAGCTTCCTTTTTTTCCTGGCCAGGTCTTTGTCTTTGCCGAGTCTGAAACGAATAGTGACGTGCCTGCAGAACCACTGCATCTCTACTTGAGGCAGGATTGTAACACCAAAGTTGGCTCGGAGCGAATGGCGACTGAATTGGCGGTGGGCTAAAATACTGTACTGAGGGAATATCTTCCTGCATTAATTCAGTTTTGCATTTCATTTGCAGGCATTCTGCCAACGTGGCTTATGTGTGGACCCCCAGATGTCACCGCATGTCACTCCGGCTTTGGCTGCTTCTAATCTCTGTTGTTGATATACTACACCTGACTGACTGGCACTTTGTCCCATGTTCTACAATCTCTCGAAACTGAATACATTGCTTCCCTTTGGCATGATCCTATGTATTTATATATATATATATATATTTCAACCTTGCCATATTTTGCTGTCTTTCTTCGCGTGTTCTGAGGATTTGCACTTTGGCAGTGCTATGATGAAGGTAGCAGGGATGGACTCTGGACGCAACATTGCGTGCTGGCAGATCCAACACCAACATGCCAATTGACTATTGTCATCTAGAAACAGATATCCCTGTGCTATGAATGCCCTGCATGCACAGTTGTCCGAGGAGAGCTTTATGGCTGACGTACACAAACCGATTCCAAGACACTAACCTTGTTCCAACTACAAGCAGGGACCAAGTAGGAAGTTAATGGTAATGAACAGCAAGGATGCCAAAATGATGAGCTATTTTCCTTTTGTAATGGACACAGTTGGACATTTGCGTACGATTCAAACATAATAGAGGCAAGAGATACTCCACCAGAGAGGTTCCACATGATTCTATAGGTCATATTATATAGTCGAGTGATATTCTCATTTGCAAATGCAAACTCTCCCACTTTACCAAGTGGGTCCCACTTGGCCCTGCAAAGATTTATGGCAGGTCGAGGGTTTGGGGGATCTGGGCACAATTCCTTGCCAAGAATCTATTCAACATCCACGTTTGTCGACCAGATGTTGACAATACTCTGAGGTAGTTCCCCAGATAGCGAAACTATGGGGTTCTTACTTCAAATAACAATGAGTTGCCTGTGCGCGCTTTGGTGCCGGGTGCCGGTGCTGGTGCTGTGAGCTGGCTGTGCACGTGGTGGAGACAGGTTGC